GAGTTGGAGGTTTCTGTGAGCTGTAATGCCATGGCACTCTACCCAGGGGGACAGCTTGAGGCTCTGTCTCAAAAAAAAAAAAAAAAAAGAAAATTACAACTGCAACTCTATAATATGAAGGCAGCAGATAAGCTAATACAAGGGGGGGATAGGGGAATGAGCAAGTGGAGAGAGGGGAGGAGGATGGGGGTGACACTGCACAGCATACCTCTTAGGGGTAAGATACAATTATAAGAGGGACTTTACCTAATACATAAAATCAGTGTAATGTAATTCTTTTTTTTTTTTCTTTTAGAGACAGAGTCTCACTTTATTGCCCTTGGTAGAGAGTTCTGTGGACTCACAGCTCACAGCAACCTCCACCTCCTGGGCTTAGGCGATTCTCCTGCCTCAGCCTCCCAAGTAGCTGGGACTAGAGTTGCCCGCCACAACGCCTGGCTATTTTTTGTTGTGGTTTGGCTGGGGCTGGGTTTGAATCCACTACCCTCGGTATATGGGGCCGGTGCCCTACTCGCTGAGCCACAGGTGCCACATGGTAATGTAATTCTTTGTACCCTCAATGAATCCAAAACGATAAAATAACAATAATAATAATAATGAGGGACTGGATGATGCCAAAAAAAAAAAAAAAGAAATTACAGTTGCACATACCCTTTGGCCTAACTATGCTATTTCGGGGAATGTGTCCTATAGATACACTTGCACATACACAAAATGACAAAAGTGACTAGGCACCCTAACACAGGTGAGTGAGACTTTCGTTTCATAAAAATAAAATAGCGGGCAGTGCCTGTGGCTTAGTGGGTAGGGCGCCAGCCCCATATACCGAGGGTGGCGGGTTCAAACCCAGCCCCAGCCAAACTGCAAACAAAAAATAGCCGGGTGTTGTGGTGGACACCTGTAGTCCCAGCTACTCAGGAGGCTGAGGCAAGAGAATTGCCTAAGCCCAGGAGTTGGAGGTTGCTGTGAGCTGTGTGACACCACAGCACTCTACCGAGGGCAATAAAGTGAGCAGTGTCTCTACAAAAAATAAATATAAAAATAAAAAAAGCAGTACACATTCTAGAAAAGGTATGTAGAATATTCTGTCACCCTTGATAGAGTACTGTGGTATCATAGCTCACAGCAATATCAAACTCTTGGGCTCAACTGATCCTCTTGTCTCAGCCTCCTGAGTAGCTGGGAGTACAGGTGCCTGCTACCATGCCCAGCTAGTTTTTCAGTTTTTAGTAAAGACAGGGTCTGGCTCCAGCTCAGGCTGGTCTCAAACTCCTAAGCTCAGTCAATCCACCCACCTCAGCCTCCCCAAGTGCTAGGATTACAGATGTGAGCCACCTCGCCCAGCCTAGAATACTTCCTCTTCTTTGTAAAAAAGCGGGTGGGGGAGCCAGCCATGATGGCATGTGTCTGTAGTCCAGCTACTAGGGAGGCTGAGGCCAGAGGATCACTTCAGTCCAAGAGTTCGAGGCCACAGTATGCTATGATCATGTCTGTAAATGGCTACTGCGTTCCAACCTAGGCAACAGATAGAGGACTCAAAAAAGGCAGGGGTAGGGAGACAGTAAGTAGTAATATACAAGTAGTCATGTTTGCTTGGATATGCACACAGAAACTCTGGAAGACTTTTGAGCATTATGAATGTATTACCTTTTGAAAATTTAAACTTAATAAAAACAAAGAAATGTTTTTAACAACATAGGACAGATTGGTGTGCTCTCACTTAATGGGCACAGTGTAAGGGTACATGGCACATTTCCTGGGTGCAGGACACAACTACAAGGACTCTACCTAACACATGCAACCATCATAACCTAATTGTACCCTCATATTAATCTGAAAAAAACAACCAAACAGTATAACACTCAAGACCAATATGTGTTTACTGAAAAAAAGAAAAGTTATAAATACTTTATGATCTCAATTATATTTTTTAAAAATACATACATGTAATACCTTGTGATTCAAGCACCAGAAAACAAATTTTTTAATTAAATCATAGCTATGTACATTAATGCTATCATTGGGTACAATTCGAAATATTTTCATCAAACTTTTTTTTTTTTTAAAGATAAGTTTATTAAATTTTTTTTTTTTTTTTTGGTTTTTTTTTTTTTTTCTTTTGCAGATTTTGGCCGGGGCCAGGTTTGAACCCGCCACCTCCAGTATATGGGGCTGGCCCCCTATTCCTTTGAGCCACAGGCACCGCCCCCAATTTTTTTTTTTTTTTTGACAGTCTCTCTATGTTGCCAAGAGTTGGAGGTTGCTGTGAGCTGTGACACCAAGGCACTCTACCCAGGGCAACAGCTTAAGACTCTGTCTCAAAAAAAGAAAAACAATAAAAGAAAATGTACCTCAAGATCTGCTCCTGACAAGCAGCAATTCTCTTCATGAATTTGTAAAACATCTGATCTCCATTTTTAATTACAGTCTTCTCGTATTTTTCATCACCATCACTAGAAATACTAAAAGAGATGCAGAAAACACTAAAAGATCAGATACTTCTGATACTTTCATGAAATATCAGAAAATTATGATATTTAGAACAAGAAAAAAGGTAAGTTTTTTTTTTTGAGACACTCTCATTTTGTCGCCCTCGGTAGAGAGCTGTGGCATCATAGTTCACAGCAACCTCAAACTCTTGGGCTCAAGAGATTCTCTTGCCTCAGCCTCCCGAGTAGCTGGGACTACAGGTGCCTGCCATAACACCCAGCTATCATTTAGAGACAGGGTTTTGCACTTGCTCAGGCTGGTCTCGAACCTGTAGCTAAGGCAATCCACCAAGCTCCGCCTCCCAGAATGCTAGGATTATAGGCGTGAGTCACAGCGCCCAACCCCCAAAAGACAACTCTTTTAAAAAAACTTATTACCTGCTTGGCACCTGTGGCTCAAGCAGCTAAGGTGCCAGCCATATACACCTGAGCTAGCAGGTTCGAATACAGCCCATGCCCGCCAGAGAATGACAGCTGCAAACCAAAAATAGCCAGGCTCCATGGCAGGCACCTGTAGTCTCAGCTACTTGGGAGGCGGAGGCAGGAGAATCGCTTCAGCTCAAGAGTTGGAGATTGCGGCTCGGCGCCTGTGGCTCAAGTGGCTAAGGTGCCAGCCACATACACCTAAGGTGGCGGGTTCGAATCCAGCCCAGGCCTGCCAAACAACAATGATGGCTGCAACCAAAAAACAGCCGGGCACTGTGGCAGGTGCCTGTGGTCCCAGCTACTTGGGAGGCGGAGGCAGGAGACTAGCTTGAGCACTGGAGTTGGAGGTTGCTGTGAGCTGTGTTGCCATGGCACTCTACCCAGGGCAACAGCTTCAGGCTGTCTCAAAAAAAAAAAAAAAAGAGTTGGAGATTGCTGTGAGCTATGATGCCACAGCACTCTACCAAGGGCAACAGCCCTGTCTCAAAAAAAAAAAACTTATTACAGGCTCAGCGCCCTGTAGCTCAGTGGGTAGGGTGCTTAAAAGTGCTTTGTTTTATAAAGCCTTTCAATATCTATTCTCTCAGTTGACTCTCAGAATCATCTGATGAAAAAGACCACAGGCTCGGTGCCTGTAGCTCACTGGCTAGGGCGCCAGCCACATACACCAGGGCTGGCAGGTTCAAACCCAGCCCAGGCCTGCTTTTAAAGACAACAATGACAATTACAACAAAATATACCCGGGCGTTGTGATGAGCACCTGTAGTCCCAGCTATCTGGGAGGCTGAGGCCAGAGAATCCCTTGAGCCTGAGAGTTTGAGGTTGCTGTGAGCTGTGACACCACCACACTCTACCGAGGGTGACATAGTGAGACTCTGCCTCAAAAAAAAAAAAAAAAAAAAGGCCAGGTTGGCTGATCAGGAGATCCCCTTGTCTCTTTCTCCCATTCCTGCCTGAGAGGAGTGAAGCAGAAAGGCCTACACATACAAATTCTGACTGAAACAGTCTCCCCAGGTCCAGGGGCAAACTAAAGCACATCTGCCGTGGCTGCTTCCTGACCAAGACCCTGCTCAACCTGGACAACAGACATTCTCACCTCTGGGAAAGCAACTGTTCTACAGCAATTCCCTCTCTCTGTTGATAGTCCCTGAGAAGGCTGTGCGCGTGAGCTAGGCTGGCAGAGTCCCTGTAGTCATCCTCATCTGCAACGCAGATGTAGTAGGGCAGGAACTGCGGCACCACAGCAGCAACAGACGAGGCCTCCCACTCCTTAGGAGGTATAGGCTGAATTGCACCCGGGACTGCATCCTGCAGCTGAAGGCCCTGCAGCTGGGAGGTCCAGTCTATGTCTCTGGCACTGTGGGGATCGTTTCCAAAATCCAAGGTAAGCTGTGGTGAAGGCACCTCCTCAACGTCACTTCCCCAGTCAGTGGCACCTTCACACCAGTCCTCAGCATCAAAGTCATTTTCCTGTTTCTGGAAGAATATCCAGGGAATGACATTCAAGCACACACTTGGGTGATTTCTCCTATTCCTATGACTGCAGCTACCAGTCCCTTCGCCTTCCTGGGAGAACCTTCACACCAGACCCTTCCTTTCTGGAACACTCCAACTTTCTGGACCCCAACTACTTAAAAACACATCAGAGGCAACTTAACTATTTCTTTCCTTTTCAGGAAGAATGTGGCAAATGCAGTATGTGATTTCTTCAAGCATCTTTTCTGAAATCTTTCTGTTGTACTTAATGTTTGGCGGCACTAAGACTCCTTAGCAGCTGGAGTTTCAGACACGATCAGAGGTCTGCTAATCAGGTCCACAAGAGAGATACACAATCTTGAGACTGAGTGAAGTGGAAAGAAAAGCCATGAAGCAAAAGACAGCCAGACTGAAGATACAGACAGCATGGCTCTGGAGCCAACAGTTCTCTAACGAGGATGGCTTTCCAGTCCCCTAACCACACCTCAGCTCTCAAACTGCAGGACAGGTAGCATAGTAGCTCTGTGACAGCTGATTCTGAGGTGTGATTCTGGAGACCATTCCTGGAGCCCCTCCTCTGACTTATCCAGTTACAGTAGTTGACCACTTCCCTACATTGACCACCTCAAGTTGACGTCATTTTCATAGACCAGACATGCACCACATGTACATACAGGCCTCGTCCCTTATGTTGACCACCCCCATTATGTTGAGCAGTTTGTGACAGTCCTTCCAATGATCAACTTACAGAAAAGTTCTAATGAAGTTAGTAAAAAAACTATAGGCAGTGTCCGAGTTACAGACATCAAACTTACATACAACTCACACTCATGAATGGAGGGTATTACAGGTAATAGGTAAGTATTTCAACTTACATATAAATTATAAACTTACAGAACCCATCTCATTCTTAACCTGGGGACTGCCTGTTATTTCCTTGTATTAAGTCTGTCTCACTAAAAAGAGTCAAAATACTTTATTATCTGCATTTGAACCCTGCCAAGGACAGGCAGACACGTCACTAGCTCAACCTTTTTATTTCTAGTATTACTAGAACTACACTTGGCACACATCAAGAGCTCATTGTAGACCTGAAGACACATTCACAAGCAAAAGAACACTAAATTTATTGTAGCGACCAACTTGGTTGACTTTTCTTTTTTTTTTTTTTTTTAAACTTTATTTTTTTATTATTTTTTTTGTTGTTGCAGTTTTGCCAGGGTTGGATTTGAACTCACCACCCTTGGTATATGGGGCTGACACCCTACTCACTGAGCCACAGGCACCACCCTTGGTTGACTTTTCAATTTAATAAATTCAGGTTTCATTTATGTTTGTTATATACATATGTGCATATTATAGTAAATGTATTTCCTATAAACACACATATAACATATGACGACATGTAGGTACACACTTGTGTATCTTCCCAAACAGAAAAAAATCAGTAAATTATGTGCCCCAATCAAATGTAAATTTAAAAAAAAAAAAACTCGCCAAACAACAATGATGGCTGCAACCGAAAAAAAATAACCAGGCGTTGTGGCGGGCGCCTGTGGTCCCAGCTACTTGGGAGGCGGAGGCAGGAGACTCGCTTGAGCCCAGGAGTTGGAGGTTGCTGTGAGCAATGTCACGGCACTCTACCCAGGGGGACAGCTTAAGGCTCTGTCTCAAAAAAAAACAAAAAACAAAAAACAACCTATATACAGAATGGAATACTCTATGGCCTTAAAAGGAAAAATTCTGTCATTTGCAACAAGGATGTAAATAAAAAACACCATGCTAAGTGCAATAAACTAGGCACAGACAGATAACAGTACTGTGAGATAAGGTAGCAAATGTCAAGAGGCCATCTTTGCCCTTTTTTGCTTGCCAGAATAATTACACAAAGCCCCTGACCCTGGAACAAGGTGCAGCTCTCTGGAAAGCAGCTTTGAAGACAAAACAGGATACAGTATGAGGATCCCGTTTCCTGCCTGGGTCACTATATTCTGTAAAAGATAAATGGGTCTTGGCGGCACCCGTACCTTAGTGGGTAGGGCACGGGCCACATACACCGAGGATGACGGATTTGAACCCAGCCCGGGCCCGGTAAACAATGACAACTCCAACCAAAAAATAGCCAGGCAATGTGGCAGGTGCCTGTAGTCCCAGCTACTTGGGAAGCTGAGATAAGAGAATTGCTTTTAAGCCCAAGAGTTTGAGGTTGCTGTGAGCTGTGATGCCATAGTACTCTACCGAGGGCAACATGGTGAGACTCAAAAAAATTAAAATTAAAAAAAGATACATGAGTCTTTGCCTTTTTGTACATAAGCAAAGGGATAGTAATTATGCTTCTGTAATCTACAACCAGATGCACTCTTACACCCAAACCTTGATGTGATTCTGCTTTAATGTAACCTGAGCAAGTTTGATGTGATTTTGCATGTACTGAACCCCTACCAACTGTGGATAGCCAATGGCCTAAAACACTGCTTTGGAGAAGTCTGACAGAATTCTGGGCTCAGTCTATGGTCCTCAGCAATACTTTTGAATAAAACTACCTTTAATTCTTTACAAGCCTTTTTTGTTGAAGTCAGTGTCACTTTGTTGCCCTCGGTAGAGTGCCCTAACGTCATAGCTCACAGCAACCTCAAACTCTTGAGCTCAAGTGATTCTCTTATATCAGTCTCCCAAGTAGCTGGGACTACAAGTGCCCACCATAGCACTCAGTTACTTTTAGAAACAAGGTGTCACTCTGGCTCAGACTGGTCTCAACCTGTGAGTGCAGGCAATCCACCTGCTTTGGCCTCCCAGAGTGCTAGCTGTTTTTTGTTTTCTTTAGTCAAAGGCATGAACTCACATGTGGAATCTAAAACAATCTATATCATAATAGCAGACAGTAGAATGTAGTTACAGAAGCTAAGGGTGGAGGGAATAGGGAGATGATGGCCAAAGGGTACAAAATCTCAGGAGGAATATAAATATTTTACAAAATATTTACAAAATATTCTCTGTGTGTTGGCCACCCTGTAAAATTTTGTAATGAATATTTTGTAAAGGTATGTTTACCTACAGTTTCCTATGTCTGGCAACTTTAGGGGCGACTTTTAGGGGACCCTGCAGTGGATTGTTTTTGTTCTACTGAACAGCATGGTGAATACAGTTAACAAAAGACTAATGTACAATTCAAAACAGCTAAGTAAATTTCAAATGTTTTCATAAATTCCATATTGGGGTGAAAATGTTAACTAGCTTGACTTAATTATGCAATACTGTATTCATAAATCATGACACCATTTTGTACCTTGTGCATTTTATACATCATAAACTGTTAATTTACAGTAAAAAGAAAAAAGCTGAAGAAATGCAGTAGGAAATCTCCATCTTTTTTTTTCCTCTGAGACAGAGTCTCACTCTGATAGCCAGGCTAGAGTGCTGTGGAGTCAGCCTAGTGCACAGCAACCTCACAGATTCAAGCGATCCTCCTGCCTCAACCTCCTGAGTAGCTGGGACTACAGGTGACTGCCACAACGCCCGACTAGTTTTCCTATTTTTAGTAAAGACAGGGTCTCCCTCTATGGTCTTGAACTACTGAGCTCAAGCAATCCACCAGTGTCAGCCTCCTAAAGTGTTAGGATTACATCTCCTAACAACCGAGTAAAGGAAAAAAACATCCCACAAAACCTTAAGAGAACAGCATTTTATGGTTCTCAACAAAAGCAAAAGGCCTGACAAGGTGATGATGCGATGGCATTCAACCCAGGGCGACAGAGTGAGACTATGTCCCAAAAATAAATAAAAGCTAAATACATTCCAATGTACTACAAAGAACACAGTGTAAAAGATTGTCCTAAACGATATTCTGGAAAATATCGTGAAATTACAGCAAAACCTAATACACAAATCACAACCACCTTACCTGAGAGTCCAGCGCGTCTTTCTCTCCCACCTGCAGGCACTGGGAGCGGAACACCTTCCAGCTAAAGGGTAAAGACCCACGCGGTGGTGAGGGCTCCACCCCGATCTCCCGCCCCACCCAACCCGCTCCCGCCCACTCGGGGCAGCCCCGCGAGCAGCTCCGGGGCTTCGCGGCCTACCAGCGCGCCCCGCCGTGGCCGCAGGTGGGGCAGGCGCAAGCGAACACGTGCAGTAACCGATGAAACGGGGAGGCTTCCAGCGGGCAGTACACCTGCACGACCAGAGCGAGCGGCTGCCCGCAGCGTTCACACGCCGGCCTCGGCGCCGCCACGCCGGGCAGAGCATCCTGAGGGGAGTAGAGGCGCTGAGACCCCGATTCTGTCCCAGAACCTCGCCCTCTCCCGCACTCCGCACCCTTTGTCAGCACCCGCCAGCCCCAGCTCCAGCGCCCACCCTCACCGGAACGCCGCCCAGCTTGCTAGCAGTCCAGGCGTCCGGCCCCGTGGGGCTGCCGCACACCGCGGTGTCCCGAAGCCCGAGCAGCACTGGCTTCCGGACGGTCGCCATGCCCACCAGGCACCTCGCAAGAAAACGCGAATTACGGCAGCCGAGAAGGTGTGGCCGTCTGCGCATGTGCGCCGCCTACCCACGCACGACGCCCCGCCCGTTATTAGCATCCTTCTTCCGGATGGAGAAACTGGTTCTATGGCGCTGTGAGCTCAGGGCTGAGCTGCGCGGGCTCAAAACCGGGAGCCCCGGGCAGTATGTGCTTCCTAATGCGATGCAATAGGCAATACCATCTTCTATGAAGTAGTCTTGCCAGAAAGCTTTCCCCTGAAAATAAAAATGTTAGGTGGGGTAATGGTGCCATCTCCCTTGAGCAAAAAAGAAAAACAAGAAAGTTCTTTTTTTTTTTTGTAGAGACAGTCTCACTTTATCGCCCTCGGTAGAGTGCTGTGGCTCACAGCAACGTCCAGCTCCTGGGCTTAGGCGATTCTCCTGCCTCAGCCTTTCGAGTAGCTGGAAGTACAGGTGCCCACCACAATACCCAGGTATTTTTTTGTGGCTCGGTGTATGGGGCCGGTGCCCTACCCATTGAGCGCCACCCTACACTATTAAACTTTTATGTTTGAGATTTTCCATGATAAAGTTTTATAAAATACCTGCAGCACAATATGGGTGAAGTTCAACAGTATCGTGCTAAAAGGCCATATTCTGGAAAGAAATCAGATTGATGGTTGCCAGAGGTTGGGTTCAGCAGGTAGGATGTCAAGAACGTTTTAGGAACATGCTGCATATCTGAATTGTGGCAGTTATATGACTGTTTAGATTTGTCATCACTCAAGAATTGCATATTAAAGAAAAGTAGATTAAACCTCATTTTTAAAAAGTGCATATGGCCCGGCGCCTATAGCTCAACTGGCTAAGGCACCAGCCACATACACCTAAGGTGGCAGGTTCGAATCCCCAGCCCGGACCCGCCAAACAACAATGACGGCTGCAACCAAAAAATAG